TAATAAACATACAATCATTACGTTTGGTATCAGGTTTCAATCAATAGGATCAAAGACTTGTATGACTGGGTACTTAATAATTTAAAAAATAAAAACATACTGACTGGTAGTTGGCCAAGCTCTACATGTTCATCTTTGGACTGCTGTTTTTTGGCCTAGTCCCATTTTGACTACTTGTATCTGTGTATCTGAACTGTTTATCTATCCCAAGGTTGCAAGGAGGCTGAGTAACATTTAGTGAAAGGCAGGTTACACCATGGAAAGCCTGGACAAGATTCTAATTCAGCCCCAACCGATCAGGACTTTTGAATATGAATATGTGAGGCAGCAGTCCACTGCACCACTGTGCTACAATATGAATGCAGAATTCAAACCTGTTGAGAGCAAATATCAGCTTATATGTCAAACTGACTCAGAAGTCACCTTAATAAGTATCATCACTGGTAATGAGAGCCGGGGCTTTGGCTACAACCCTGTCAGCAACCAGAAATTGTCAGAGGAGAAGTGCACAGTGTCTAAGCCCAAAGCCACACATCAGTTGGGGGAGATAACCTGGAGCATGTTTGTCATTTTTTGTGACATTCACAAGATTGTACACATTGAAATTGTCCCCCAGTGTCATACTGTCAACATAAGGTTCTACAGTAAGGCATTTGACAACATTCAGCACAACTGACCTCCATGATAGCACATGCCATCGTGGCTCTGACTTCATCTTTTTACCTAACTAAATGAGTAGGCTGGAGTTTTCATCCACTGCAGGGTCCAGCAAAGATGCACAAGTTCAAGTTGTCAAGGTTCAGCTGTGTGGTAGGCAGAGAGTGGACCCAAATGCAGCTTATTGCTCGACTTTTTACAGAAATGCAAAGAAACACATTTCTGGGATAAATAATCCCAAAGGTTGGGAAGATATGAGACAGGACAAAGGGACAAATGATAATGAGGCTAAGGAAAAAACAGGTGGGAAATATGGCAGGTGTAACTCAGGGATAATGAGACAAGCGAAGTAAAGCTGAACATAGAACATACAAGACAAATGTTACCCAAATAAAACAAGAAATAACTTAACAGGGAAACATAACAGACAGAGACTTGACAAAACGTGGGGAGGCACTTAAAGACTAAACTAAGAGCACAAACAAAAATGCCTGTAACGGAGGATACATTTTAAAAAATACACAAAAGCGACAACTGAACAGTAAGCAGCTACAAGCTTAAACAACGACAAACGCAACTCAAAAACATAAAATGCTGGGTCAAAGACTCAGGACCACAACACAACTGGTTATAGTGGGACTTCCAGAGTGACCTAAAAGATATCAGGCACAGTGACAGTAGTGAAGAGGTGCACATGAAGATGACCTTGAAGGGAAGGTTGTAAATATTTACAAGTTTTCCTTTTCATTGTCATGTTTGTTGGAACCTCTTGATTGCAGCTCTTCTACGGCTCAGCATAATTATATCATTTATATCTAACATACTGAGTTAAACTGACTGCATTGCTGATTAAATAAATAGCTGTTAATTAAACTACTTGTTTAATTAACAGCTATGTCTAACAGAGGACTGTGATGACAAAAAAGCTGAGACAGTCTCAAATTTTGCAACACTAGGTCCTCAAAACTGGAAAAGTTTCCTCCCTCAGAGGCGATGATTTCACAGCCAAAAACGATTGGAGAATACGAAAGACAGAAAACGCACGAGGAAAGATTGATGAAGAGATGGAAAGAGATGGCTCTATTTATTAATATTAGTAAAGCAATTTTCTGTTTTGGCCTCTGATCTCTGATATTGATTCCTGCTTTCTCTTTCCCATCATTCATGCAGTAATCAAATCATCCATCTAATGAAACATCCATCCAGTAAGGCCCTCTTCTCTACCTCCTACAACACAGTAATTTTTCCATTAATCAAAGCCCATAAAGAGATTCTCATCTTTCCTCTCGTATTGATTGCAGTGTCTCTTTCTGTTCATCCAGACTCTAATCAAATAAGTCATCACAATAACTGTGTTGACAGGAGAGACTTCCTCTGTATCATTAGTTTAATTTTCTCTGATAAAATAATAAAATTGTTTTTCTTCACTCCACCTGATGTAAGAATATGAAAACGTGACGAACTCAAGTTAAAAAACAAAAGAAAGCTCAAAGCTCAGTAAGGTGTTAACATCAGAAGAGTTTTAATGTTTCTTCCTTCCAAGCACGAGCTATCCAAGAACATTGTTTTTCTGGTCACTCAAATTTGTGCTATTACTATTCTTGAATTGTACCAAACTGCAACAATTCGTGTTTATCCAAGTAAAGAATTTTCTGTTAATTAGAGCTTAAGGGTTTAAGGCCTTTCGAGGTTAAAATTAGTTCTAATCTGGTCCAAGATTTGGTGAAAGGTGAAAGTTATAGAATATTTGATTGGCATTTCATTTAGTTATATCAGATTGAAGTTTTGGAAAAAAGAAAAGCGTGTTGCATGTATTTGTAGCAACCTCTGGAACTTATTGTTCCCACATGCTAGAGTGGAAAGGTGGTGCAGTAGTACGCGAAGTTCCCTCGAAGCACAAAGGGTCTGGGTTTGAATCAACTAGCTGTCTGAGTTTGAAAAGACACTGAGGAGGAGGACTTGTCATCTTTTGCCAAATGTATTTTAAATAACCTGAAAAGCTGGCCTTCCAGCTTTTGGTATTTAACCAGAGCTGCAATATATGCATGTGGCAGAGTCATTCTTTAACATCGTCTGAGTTGACATTGATTCTTTGATAACTTTGCTGAAGGATAGAAATGTAATTCTTTGAAAAGATATTCATTTTTCCTTCATTTGGTTTTTCAATGATGGCAAATGAGAGCATGGTCTAGCATATCATTTAATCCTCCCAATAGCTGATTACTGTGAAGGGCAGACATATGAAACCATATTCATACTTTTTACAGTGACCTCTTGCTCCCTGTCGATTGTCATATGGGATGTTGTGCAGACCACTTATATCAAGAGCTTTGTGCTGATTTAAAGTGACTCTCTAAAGCTGGGTATACACAGACTGTCCCAGACAAGCACCATAATCATCAAATCACAGCAATATCTTTCTTTTGTAGTGGCTCCAAAATGTTGTTCCTAAGCAGAAGACTAAAGGCTAAAGGTAGCCTAGAAAAAAATGTTCCAAATTCAGGATGACCACCTATTCAACTCTACCAACCAACAAACAGAAATGCAAGCTTGAAATAATGTAGTGGTTAGTGTAACTACAGCGCTAGTTAGAAAAAACGACAACAACAGAACAGTAACTTATCTCAAGCAGACAGCAGTCAGTAAAATGTGATAAACTAAATGTTTGGGACACCAACAAGAAGAAAATGTGGCAATAGAAGACGCGTGGCAGCAAAAGGTGGAGGAATTCCAGCTGTGCATCATAGCCCATGACTGACGTGTTAGGAGACAATATTCATTTGTAACACCTGATGTTGTACAGTTTCATTAGACCTAAGTCAGAGAGTTTTTAAGCTTTGTATTAAACTTGCAACAAACAGAAGAAAGGGCGTAAATGTAGAGCACCAGGAAGTAGCGTAAGTTTAGAAATCCAAATCCTTTAATCCAGGTAGGAGTTACATTTAAAGGCAGCCAGAGGAAGAAAACACTTCCAACAAGGGGTTAAGCCCACACCATAAATTAGGACATTGGTAAGAACATTAGGAAAAACACAAGGAGATACTGGGAACTGCTGGAATACTTGTTTTATTACAAACTCACAAATCTGGCTAGTTGTATTTAGGCGAGACAGATTCAGCAGAGGTAAAGCTGAAGAGGACCAGACAAACAATTACAAGGACAATAAACTGACTGAAGGGAAAGGTGAGCGTAGGCACCTTAAGATGAGTTGATCCAAACAACTCGTGCATGATCTCTACCTGTAAGCATGAACAGTTCAGGGTTTTCCTTTGATTTCTCACTAGGTTGTATATATTCTCACAGACCGAAGTGAAATATCAAAGATATTTGTCCATCAGCTTCCAAGTGGTCTGTTTCTTTCTCTGAAGTTGAAATTGCTTTTCCCTTAAGAATATCTAATACATTTTTAATGACTGACAGTATTCTGCTCTCTCCAGTTCCCCCTGTAAGCAGAAACACAGTTTCTTTCACATCCCTAGGGGGGGAATAGAGATGGATCCACTTATTAGGACCGGCTGGTGCTCATCTATCTTTAATGGTGTCTTGCCATGTGTCTTCTCCAGTTTCCCCCCCCCCCCAGATTAGGCATTAGGACATATTTGGCTTTGTTTTTCAGTGTTAGCGTGCAGTTATATCTAGTTGTTGCTAATGAGATGACCAAGGGTGACCTCTCAGTGATCCTCGCTGTGGGATTCAGAGAAAAATGAAATATTTAGATGCAGTGTAAAGTCTGATTGTTGTTGTTCCCCAGAATAGTGGGTCAGATATCGACAACCATGCAAGCCAACAGGTCATATAACAAAAGTCGCTGTCAAATCAGGTAAAAATTGAAAAAGTGCTAAAAGCCACCAGAAAACTGAATAATCCTAATGACATAAGTGAAATCATTTGATGAGCGCTTCACTTCTTTTCCATTTCATAGTGACCAATTTGATGTACAGTGTTTCTTTTTTTCTTGTTTCTTACAAATAAAACAGTTTTGGTGTGTGGATTAAAAAACAAAGTCGGTCTTTGTAATTTCAGTTTCACTCTGAGCAGTTTTCAATAACGATCTATTTGTCTCTGCCTGCTTTATCCTCCACCACCTCTTATTCTTTCCCTGCCATCCATCAGTCTTCTTTGTTTTTCTTCCATGACCAACCCCACCTCTCTTCTACCTCTAGCTGATTTTTACCTTCTTCACCTTCTGTATCCACTTCTCCCTTTGCCCCATTCCTTCTCCTTTTTATCCTAAATGTATTTTTCCAACACTTTCTTCTTTTGTCTTTCCTTTTGCATTCTTCACCATTTCTCTTGTTATTCTTTATTCACCCATCTTTTCTGTCTCCCGCTTTCTCTTTCAGGTAAGACTTCCCCTGAACCACTGCATCTCACCTCCCTTGGCAGCCTGTTGGATGATCAGCATTGGCACCATGTAGTACTGGAGCAAAAAAGTGCTCACCTCAACCTGACTGTGGACAAAAACACGGAGAGAGTGCAGCTCCCGGCAGAGTTCAGTCGCTGGGCCATCGAACAGGTGTGCTAAAACACACTGATATAAAACTGACCAGTGGCGTGTTTATATAAATGTGCACAGAAAATATACAATATTTTTTTCATTGTGATCTCTACATAGTTGAGTTTAGGAGCTGTCCATAGCCTTCGATCGCAGAAGCCAGACGCCTCCAGTAAGGACCTCCATGGCTGCATAGAAAACCTGCTGTACAATGGCTTCAACTTGATAGAGCTGGCTAAGAATAGTGACCACCAAGTTACTGTCAGGGTAAGTACATGATACCAAGAACACCCATTTTTCTGTTTTCAAGAAAGCACTTATATGCTGTGACTCCAGGCTCTCAAACAGTTCGCCTCTTTGCATCAGTAACATAATGCCTTTACTGGCATTATCATAAATGTTTGGATTCTTTTAGTCTTTTGCATTTCATTAAGCTGCCTTTTTATTTATTTACATTTTGTTACCGCACCATCTATTCTTGTCTTGTTGTACTGATTATATTACTTTTATTAACACACACACACACGCACACACACACACACACACACACACACACACACACACACACACACACACACACACATATATATATATATATATATATATATAAAAACACCCAGCACGCCCCTGCGGGCGGTTTATCCTTCAAGCTCGGGTCCTCTACCAGAGGCCTGGGAGCTTGAGGGTCCTGCGCAGTATCTTAGCTGTTCCCAGGACTGCGCTCTTCTGGACAGAGATCTCCGATGTTGTTCCCGGGATCTGCTGGAGCCACTCGCCTAGCTTGGGGGTCACCGCACCTAGTGCTCCGATTACCACGGGGACCACCGTTACCTTCACCCTCCACATCCTCTCAAGCTCTTCTCTGAGCCCTTGGTATTTCTCCAGCTTCTCGTGTTCCTTCTTCCTGATATTGCTGTCATTCGGAACCGCTACATCGATCACTACGGCCGTCTTCTTCTGTTTGTCTACCACCACTATGGTTAGCCACCACCATTTTGTCCGTCTGTATCTGGAAGTCCCACAGGATCTTAGCTCGGTCATTCTCCACCACCCTTGGGGGCATCTCCCATTTTGACCTCGGGACTTCCAGGTTATACTCGGCACAGATGTTCCTGTACACTATGCCGGCCACTTGGTTATGGCGTTCCATGTATGCCTTGCCTGCTAGCATCTTGCACCCTGCTGTTATGTGCTGGATTGTCTCTGGGGCATATTTACACAGCCTGCACCTGGGGTCTTGCCTGGTGTGATAGACCCCAGCCTCTATGGATCTTGTGCTCAGAGCTTGTTCTTGTGCTGCCATGATTAGTGCCTCTGTGCTGTCTTTCAGTCCAGCTTTGTCCAGCCACTGGTAGGATTTCTGGATATATATATATATATATATATATATATATATATATATATATATATATATATATATATATAATATATATATATATATATATATATATATATATATATATATTAGGGGTGCAACGATATTCGTATCGATATTGAACCGTTCGATACAGTGCTTTCGGTTCGGTACGCATATGTATCGAACAATACAACATTTGTAATTTATTTTATCAACTTTCCTTCTGACGATGCTGTCTGTGTTGAGCGCTCAGTGAATCTGCGTTCGACTACTCCGCCTAGGCTGCACTGTCAAGCGCAGATCCACTGAGCGCCCTCATTCAGATGTGGTGTTTGGAATTATTTTGGTTTTCATGTGGCGTATGACCCTGAAGGTAAGCGAGTCATGGACTAAAGTAAAACAGCATGTTGGATGTGCCACACAATGCTCAATTACATGGGTGGGAACTAGTGTGTTAGCGCAGTTAGCTCGTTAACGTGTTGGCCGTCTAGCCCCATGCACGGGGCGATCGGCGGTAGCTCGTTAACGGAGATTTGCCGTGTTGTGGCGTTAAGGTCATTTCAACGAGATTAACCTGAAAGCACTAGTGGGAACACAACGAATATGACTGCACATTTACGCCGACATCATCCTAGTGCAAAGACAAAAACAACAAGCATGCTACTAACTTTAGCCGAGTCATTTAGACAGCTGTTAGCACATGATTCTCCTTATGCTGCTGAGAATATAGCCCAGAAGAAGCGGATAGTATAGCTTTTATTTTGGAAAGAGACATTTCTCTGTAATAAACTCTCTTTTCCAAAGATGAGTGATTCCTCAATCAGATACAGGGCTTGCAATATCGCTGAGCTTATGTGAGTGAGCGTGTAAAAGCATTTCAGTTCTGCTGAGCCAAATAAGACAGGTCAGGGTGAAGAAGTGACAGCCAAAGAAAAGCTTACCACAAAACGGAGAAGTTATGACAAATCAGACTATAAGGCAAAAAGAAAGTGCAGCTTTATGGTTTCATGGACAAAATAATTTCTGTGGCTGCAATATGACGAGCTAAATAACCAGGGCTACACATAAGTGGTCCGCAGGTGCGCATTCGCTGTCAAAATAAAAAACACGTACAAGGGTTAGGGTTAAATTTAAAAACTGTACTTTTGAGTTAAAATATATATTTATAATTTTAATAAATGACAAATTAAGAAGGCATGAACATTTTTTTTGTATCGAAAAAATATCGAACCGTGACACCAAAGTATCGAACCGAACCGAACCGTGAATTTTGTGTATCGTTGCACCCCTAATATATATACATATATATATAAATATATATATATATATATATAAATAAAAAAAAACACCCAGCACGCCCCTGCGGGCGGTTTATCCTTCAAGCTCGGGTCCTCTACCAGAGGCCTGGGAGCTTGAGGGTCCTGCGCAGTATCTTAGCTGTTCCCAGGAC